AAAAATACGGAATACTTTAATATTATTTTTGTTTAGAAATTTATCCTTTTTTTTTCATTGTCATTATACTATTATTATTAATAATATCAATGTATATATAGATCTATGCTATCCAATCCAGAAAGCTGTTGGCACATATGGTGCGGATTATAAGGGGGTCTCTGAGGAGACTTTACCCCAAAATGTCTTTGTAAAATCTGAATAAAAGAAAAAAAAAAAAAAAATTAGTCAGATCTATTCTTTACGTTCAGCAGCGCGAAAATTTCGTTGAAACATGGATCAGAAATGTAAAATCTCCGTCATCTTGGTGTTATAACACGTCACCAAGACAGTGTAATTACAACGTAATCAGTTTTATCCCCAAACGATCTGACATATGGCACGAGATAAAAGTCCTTTAAGAAAACCGACTTGCTTTGCTCCAAGACTTTTAATGAATAAGAATTATAGGCCATTGCAACGTTGTAGTCTTGGGAGCCATTATTAGGTGATATCAAACGAAAAAATCTGTTAAGATACAATTCATCAGCGAAAAAACGCTAGTTTGATGAAATTGAGTTTGTGTAATCGGCCTCGTAATTTTTTGCTTCTTTAAAGACAAAAGGAAAATACTTGATAAGTTCCGAATGAAGTCCGTAGCTTCCTCTGATGGTTCAACTCTCGTTGATGGGAAAATTCGAGAGCATTGGCGTCATACTGCCATCCTGGATTAAATGTGCTTCCTCGGATCTGTAAGAAGATTAAAATTAGTTTCTTAAAATGATATTTGTGGTGAAATAAAATTATACAAGACCGATATGCATGTACATGTACATACATTTGAAGAATCTTGGCAACATCTTTGTATCTAGCTGCTGAAACCTGTCACCAAAATTAATGTGTTTAATATCCCCTTGAGAAGAGTATAGATCTCCTATAATTACATTATCGGAGAGTAAAGAAAATTTAATTAGTATTGATATGTCGACTTCTCTATTGCATCTTGATATTCATGAAAACCCGTATAAATAAACAAATTTTCTAATATAGCTTTTATTATCACTCACTACAAAATCTCCTATCAGATTACATTTTATGCTCAATTGAAGTGCAGTGAAAATGCAATTATTAAACCCGATACATCCCATTATTTATGTTCATGGACACAGCTGTTCCCACCATCTAAAAACAATGAAATACAATACAGATTGATAGTCTGTCGATATCATTGCAATAAACACCCGACTGTGAGTCTTATCATCAAACACTGCAAAAAGTTTTCATTTTCAACAATTCATATACACACTTTTGTTTTTGTCCTAAAGACTGGAGACTCAATCTGGTTTTTTTTTCTTACGTTTATTGATCTCGAGCACTAGTTTATTAGAAATGAGTCATATACGAATCCTTTCAGGATCCAATAACATTCCGAAAGGCCATCACGTACTAATTTTAATTAATGAGTACACCTTGTCGCACGGTACATTACGAATCTTGTAATCTCAGCCGGATTGGTGACTCAATGACCAAAAGCAGAAGCCAAGGGACATCATTACGGGGGGCCAACGGCCGGATTTTGTCCGAGGACACAGTTTTTTTTTGTCGTGATTACAGCGTGCATCAAAGATAACCATTATATTTCGATTTATTGGCAGATGTATCTCGCGTGTCAATTGAAGAGCGTTTGTAAAGGGTTGATATGAACGATGTGGATACAATCAAAAATTGATGAGCCGTATATTTGATCAACATGTGAATAGCATTAAAACATTGAGTATGACAAAAGAGTCACAAATGATAACCAAGGTGCTTTTCCGGGAAATGTAACGAGTTGAATTCGAAGGACGTTATACCGGTATTTGTGTACAAATGTATATACATTTATATACGTGTATATGTTTTTGCAAATTGCCTGAGGTTAATATACAGGCGTTAAAAATATTCCTCAAGAAAATTCTCATTAATTTTGACACATATATAAAGATATTTGCATTACATCGTGAAAGTAAAGAAAGATTACACAAAATACTATATCATTGAAAAACTTCGAATAACAGCATGCTAAAAACAGGCAAAAGGTGCTGAAGGACTACACTTTTTGTCGCACGAAATCTTGTTTTAAATTCTATTCATTGCAAAATTATTTTCTGTAGCAATGTTCTGTTCATACAGTGTTTTGGTCATTCTGTGTAGCTAGAGTTGTTAAGTCACCAAACTTCTTTTAAATTGTCTGAATTTCCAATGTTGACACGAGATCTGAGAAAAGTGATTGACTGAATCAGCATAACTATGGCTTTGATAGAAGGAAAAATACTTTTTAAAAATAAAATATAAATACAAAGTCACGAACAATGTTGCTTATTTTTAATATCTCGTTTTATTGTTGAAATGTTTATTTTCCCCATAGATTCTACTGCGCTAAATATCAGTGCCACAGCAGCTTTGGTTTATTAGTTATGGTTCTAAGAATTCTTTATTGCATAGATAATTAATGCATTAAATCATACCTAAAATAAAACGAATAGCATAGCTCCCTCATGGTTTGCAGAAGAAGCATATAGCACAATTTATTACTTAAAACAAGTTTCTGTCAGTGTAATTTCCGAAACACTTCACTGAAATCTACAGAAATGACAGCAAATTTGATTGCAGACGGCATCTTTTTTTTCTTGCATGATCTCTCCTCGCCTGTTTCTGCAAATCAAAACGTCTGTGCACGCTGATGCGTTGATATTAAAGTTGAAATGAAAACAGAAGGCACATGATGTAACTGGCAGAATTTAATGTGATTTTGTGTGGTGCTATCTTTATAACCATGCAAGTTCATTCGTGAATTACTTTTAAATGTCAATTAAAAAAAAGTAGCAACCCTCTCGACATGACAACTATACGATTTAATATGGAAGAGATGAAAGGATAGATGAAAGTAAACTTTTGATTATGTACAAAAATACGAGATATCTTTAAGGAAACCTTTCTCACAAGTTTTGAACAATAAAATACGAGATATCTCTAAGGTAACCTATCTCACAAGTTTTGAACAATATCTTTATATATAAGAAAATCCTCAGTGAAACAGATAGTATTGTTGGTAATATCTTCAATGCAAATTTTAATAGAAAAAAAAAACATATTCTTAAATTTCTATACCGACTAAATCTTACTTGTTCATTCAGTTGAACGCCCAGTTTAGGTGCGTTAAGGGCGGACTGGATGCCCATGGCGTCCTTGTTGATGATGCCCACAATTTTAGGCAGATGTCCATGGCAATACACGTCGGCTGGCTGACCATCTTGCTGCCATCTGAACGTACGTAACGTCAGTTGTAATCCACATACTCGGCAACGGAAACAACGTCGATGGAATAGTACACCAACGTCCACTCGTTCTACAGGGTATACTCGCTTCTGACAACGATAGCAAGTGTCCTTATTTTGGGAGGAATAAAACCCGTCCCCGTCGTCCGAATCGCTGGAATACTGGTCGTCCATCCTCTTGCCCAGACGTTGCTAACATTAATAATGCATATTATTCAAGGCATAGGGGTGCAATAAAAGATGTTCCATGCTGGTGAAAAGTTATCCAGATCCCTCTGCGCTACATCTTAAAATTGTGATGGAAAAGAAAACAACATGTTTCTCATTAGGAAAAACACAGATGCGTTGTATGTAAATGCTTGTGTCTTAGTCATTGATGAAGAAATGCCGATAGTATTTAATCGATACACATCCTGATCCATCACCGGTAATGTCAAAATCCAGGTAACATGTACAGCAGAGCGGCTATATGATTAACACAGCGCTTAATGCTTCACTCAATGAATGAAGCTAGACATTATTTCATCAATAAATACCTTGGTCTCAAATTCGTCGCCCTCTGCCCAAAGGCCATTTCAGAGCAAAGGTAGTTACAATTCCTTCTACCTACAATTACAATGCAAGTCAGGGGTATCATGACAAACATATCGAATACGCCCTCGCTTTTCTAATCTTGTTCCAGATTGGCTGAGAGAAATGTATCGATTGATCCTAGTTGATGATCTCATGGACTCGTCAGTTTTTAGAGCCTTTGTGCTTGACAGTCAACCACCATATCCTTTGTTTCACATTAGAAATGGACAGGTGCTCGTGGTGATGCATTACGAAGCTGTCATTTAAATGATGTCATTTTTGAACCATTAAATTTATTTGTGTATAAATTTTTAACAATTTCAGCAGAAGCTATTAACCTGAATAATGTTTTCAAGAAATTGCACAGACTGTACCTGGATAAATTTTCACACTAATTACTAAAAGGCAGACAATAACATATGGTAGAGCCTGAGAGAAGATGCCACTCAAAGAGGAAAATGTAAAGTGCATGCCGAAGTAAATCTTTGAAATATTAGCTTAAAGCAATAATAATTCAGTTTTTCTGTTTATCAGCAATATCAAAGAAACATTATTAGAAATATTTTTTTTATCTCTCAATTATCCCCGAATTTCTACATCTTATGCATATCTTCAAACCCCTAAAGTATAAGTTCAAAACAGTATTACGAATGCAAATGCGCGTGTATAATAATACAGGAATGCAAGCACGTTTCTGTCTTTTCAAATGCATTCTTTTCTAATACTTTCTGGCAAGTTTTGATGAGTTGTACAAAATTATTGTGTATGGAGGAGGTTTTTATTGTTAGTATGCGTATTATGTGTTAATTTAACATTAAGGCACACTCCCTGTCAGAGACTTGTAAAGTTTTCTTTGATGCTTAATCTCACGCTGTCGTCTGCTTATGAAACAGATCACTTCTTTAATTTAGCACACGTTTTGAAGGAGAAATATGAATAAAGACAGATGATGAAACACGATTGCCAATGAAACTGAAAAATAGATGCCCCCCTTTTTCTCAAAAAAGCTGGCTTCTCTCGTTATATCGCTACTGATTAAAGTTTTGCAATTAAACATGGACAAAGAGTTTTACAATGAAGCTGGTAACTTTATTAAGAATATATGAACAGAATTTCAACGTAATTCAATCATATATTGACTAATGATTTATTTCAAACATAATTCAAACTTACAGCACTCATACAATCAAGCACTTATTAAGGAGACATTGTTATGACTAAAGACCATAGTAAAAACACAGTGCATAGCATACTTCATGAAAATGAATCAACAAAAATCACAACAACAAGCAAATAAATATTCATTAAATGCACATAAATAAAATATTTTGCCCTGTAATATAAATCCCAAGCTATATTTCTGTTTCAGCATCCTCAATCAGTTCATAATCTAATAGATGAGAGAAAGTGGAGGCATCACGATCTACTGAAAACCTGGCGTAAATTTTTGCGGTTCCCGGGTTTTTCCCGGTGTTAATATTGCCCTCCCAAGTGAATCCCAATTTCCGCTTGAGGTGATGCCAGATATCCCCAATGACGAGGAAAACCTCAACAGCTTGTGGGACGTCCAATCGAAAGGAATAACGCTTATTTGTCATGAGGTCCCCATACACCGGTTCATGTAGGGTGCACCTCTGCCATTTATGGAATGTTTTGGGAAAAACATTTGTTGCTTGGTTTGCTTGCTGACAGATTACTAAGTATCTGTATGCACAGTCTAATGTTTCATTGTTCTCATCGGCTGCATACAAAGAAAAGATGTAATATCCTTCCTTCGGACACCTGACCATATACGTTGCTCCTGTTTCCGTCCTCGAGCGCAAAAATACATAGCGATCTATGTCTGAAACAGAGCCATCACTGGCATCAAAGTATTGAAATGTGTGCGTAATTTTGATCTCTTTTGAGAGCTTGAAACTTATGTCTAAGGACTCACCATTTGACACAATCAAAGGGTCAATCTGATTGCTAGTTTCTATTTTTAGACTCTCCATGATGGGCGTTGGACCGTAGAATGGCACAGGGGGGTATTGCGGAGAGGGAGCTCCCATGATCTCTGTACAGTTTATTAAGAATGACGCTGCACTTTCGAGACAGTCTGAATGCCAGTAGTCTCCAGTGTAAATTGAAAAATAGTAAAGTCCCTTTTTTGGCAAGTTAATAGTAAATATGGCTTCATTTTTCACGTGACGAAGGAGAACGCGGCCCTCAAGAGACCTGGCATCAACAGATTTATCGTAAGACTCTAATACGTGACCAAATCCTAAAATCTTGTACGAAATCAGACGAATTTCAACCATTCCGGAATCTGTTGTTAATGTCGCGCCGTAATTAGAATAAAACCGTAGTCCATAATTGAAAAATGGTGATTTTACGACAGGCAAATTAAGGAACTCTGAGAAAGGCAATGGTATGTCAATTAGTTGCCACTGTGAGTCATCGGGGTAGTGCTGGTAAATATGATCCTCCGGGTCTGTCAGAAAGTAGAACTCGTCATACTTATAGAAGATTTCCGGTAGGTCATCTTTATGTCCAGTCACGTGACGAGCCGCCCATGTACAGTTTACGAGGCGCCAATTTCCGTCAATAGAAACCGCTGTCCAGGAATTTCGGAATGAAGTCCCATCCATTCGCATTCCAGGTTTGTATCCTGCTCCTTTGGAGTAACCTAAGATTATTTCGCAGTGAAGGCCAGCATAACTGAAAAACAAGGAAATTCATAAATGAACTACGCTTCAAAAAACTTCATGAGCAATGTTTAAAAATCATATTAATGAAAAGTGTTGTTTAACTAACTTCCAATTCTTAATCATTTAAATCCCAAAAACGATTTGAATTATCTTATGTATGTGGACATCTGTCATCACATACAATTTGACCTGTATATCTATTAGTTTTTAACCACAGCATCCTGAAGATGGATGAATTTTTGGCATAAATTATAAGTTTGAATTTTAATAGATAAGCATGGTTGTGTTGTAAGTGTTTTGCAGACTTTGAGTATGGGTTTTACAAACAACACAGTTCAGTATATGAATTCTACACATCAATTTCTGGAGCTGATTATATATGACGTACTTGCAGAGCTTTTTGAAGAGTTGGTGATAGGTCTCTTTCCCCGTCCTCACCCCACGTAGAAGGGAAGCCGTAGAGTTGGGACGCACTATCTCTTTCACATTATGCTTACCTAAATCTTTTGCAATTACCCATCGGAAAATTACCCTGTAAAAGTTAAAAATTATTCAAGTTTTTGTAAAAAAAAAAAAAAAAATAAAAATAAAAAAAAAATCATGTGAAGTCTTTTAGGAAAGGGGGTAATTAGAAGTCTTTGTTCACCTGTCTACTGAGAAAAGAAATGTTCTCTTTGATCAATATCAATTTTCAACAATGCATGGAGTAATTATTTCCTTCTTTTAACGGAAAACGGCAAATGTCTGGAAAATTGTCCACATGTGCATCGAAAATATTTCAATAAAGTTGACAAAGCATGAAAAAAAAGAGCCAGAAAATTCGATGGCATTGCGGGTGCAAATTACTAAATGATTCATAGAGAAGGAAGGGAAACAATTTTTCATAAATAATTAATGAAGATTTGTTTCATGTTTTTTTTTAATTGTAAACCAAAGTACATGTAATAGACAGGATAATTACGAAGTTATATAGAAAATCTCTGGGAATCTCAATTATTTTACACAATGACATTTTGCTTTTCTGAGTGATTATACAAAATCGATCTACGGTAAAAACTATTTCATTTCCACACATCAATTAATTCAGTTTTTTTTAACATCTAGCAAGGCTGGAAATGACTATTAGGTTATGATGTTCATGACCCAGTCGAAAATAATTCCGAAAGTGGAGAGCGTTTAACACATTCCTTTGAAATCCAACACCTTCTCGAGATGACGTGGAAACCTTGCAAAGATGTCTGGAGTTGTCATGAATCTCCATGAATTTGACATTCATGCTCTCCGGGGATCGAGAGAAGTAGTTGATAGAAATGAGTGCTGATCCATATCGATTTATAAATACGGATTATGACCAATAAATTTATTCATCTCTCTGTTCATTTGTTAGGCTTACAGAGCGAACAAAGAACCACAAAATCTAAATTTAACATCATGTATACATTTTTCCTTTCATTAACTTTATAACTCTGATGAAGTGAAACTCTCAATATAATTAAACACAAACTATATTATGTATACTTTTCTTTATAAAGTAATAGAAGTCATTCAATACAAATTGCATGAAACTCAATTTCCTTCAATGAGTGTGAATTATGGGGTAATTCTTCAATACGTGGAACTCTTGAATTCATTCACCTTTTTCATCAATAATGTGGTTATTTACTTTTTCTCCATTCTTATCAGAATTAAGTTTTGGACAATTGTAAAATATCAGCACATTTAGTTTTATTTTTAAATAAATCACCTGACTTTCTCTAGTTCTGTTTGACAGTCTCTCGTCAGCTCCTTCACCAGATGCGTAAAGCTACTGTAGTCCTTGTTGGTTAACTACAAAATAATTAAGACATGTATTTCACTGCAAAGAGGCAAAGAACCTTCCCCTGCAATAAATTTTCTGTTTTTGTTCGGGAGGGGTGATGACTTGGGTAGAATACTTGGGCAGATGTTTATGATCAGCACATAAATATCTAAAAAGTAAGAGCGAAGGACTAAATTTGAGTTCATGCAATGGTGTATGGATATAAAAATAAAATACACAACCGTTATGTAGATAATGCTGGGATATCCACTGGATAAACAGATTTAATAATTCCAATATTTGCATTTAACAGTGTGACAATTGTCAATATTGCATCAGGTAAAGTCAATTTTTAAGAATAACACTTGCAAGATTTTAATTTTCTTTATCCAGTACTAAATGCTAAGAAATATTTTTCATTGTTCTTCCAATGCAGATTGGAAATTAGATCATTTCTTAATTTATATCACCGAGACATGGACAAGAAAGTATGTAAACATAAGAAATTTCTAAATACTTCGACATCCTAAGTTACTTTGTACAGTGGAGAAATTTTTAAGTTACATACCTCTATGGCTCTCTCGTCCAGTTTCCTGAAGACCTCTGGTGATTTGTAAAGATCAGCTTTTTTTGTTTCAGGGGGAATGACTGGTGGTCTCATTGAATGATCAAACAATGCGCTTCTGTCGACTTCCCTATCCTGCCATAAAAATGTTTTCCGTAAGTCAATAAGTGGCAAATGCTCCAATATTGTCGTTTACCAATTATGAAAAATATTGAAAAAATACATTTGTTTAATTTCATTTTTTAAGAAATCCATATTAGGGAACATTTTTGTTTGAAAATGACTATCGTTTCCATTCTCTTAAGGACTTCTCAAACATTTTATTCACAAAGAAATAAAACAGCTTTTTCATTAACGTATCAATTTTTGTGACTGATGTTGTTTAGAATTCTACTAAAATTTGACATTTTTGTTGCTACCTTTTTTGCTATCAAAAGCAGTATTTCCTGTCCGTGACGATCTAACATTTTTGCAGTTCTTGTTTTCTCCTCAGTTGCAATTTTTTCCATCATTACTTTCAACTTCTCCTCGCGCGTGCGCCGGAAATGATCTTCAATTCTTTCCCTTTCCGCCATGAGATTCGGAGTTGATCCCGACATTGACATATGCTCAAAACTACTAAGAAGGTCTGCAGCAGCCCGATCTTTCTCCACAGCGATGCTGTCATCAAGTTTCCTCATTTCCTTTTCTCTCTCCTCCAGGAGAAATCTCTGCAATCTTTCCTCTTCTTCACGGTGCCTGGATTCCAGTACCGACTGTGACTCGAACACACCACTGGTTTCAAAGTCCTTGAAATATAAAAATTCTCTTTCTGAAAACTAGTCAATCTAATAGGTAAAACATTGAAAATCAGTAGACATCCTTTCCCAAGCAATGATATTCTGATTAACCTGTTTAACCATTCTCTGTGCACCCATATCCAAGCAACGTGCAAACGAACAAAGACTTGACCATGTTATATTTTCTTTGGTTTGTTAACAAGTAAGCAAGGACTCTGTTGACCGTGGTCAACTTATTACCTCATCCCAAGATACGATTGAAAGACACTCAGAAACCTGTCGATGGAACCTGGCATATTACTGGCATGTATTAGCCAAAACTTTATTTTGAATGACACAATTTCAATGATTCCAACACATATTTACCTAGAAAATTGACTGCCTGGTATACCTTATGTTCCCAGCAGGTCAGAAACAAATGAAAAAGCTTTTCTTCTATTTGAACAACTTTACTTACTTGAAACGACTGAAGCACAGGTCTTGGGCGATGATGCCCGGGAGTGGATCCAAAAGAGGTGTTGAAATCTGTCATATTTGGAGCATACGAGTGGAAAGTGCTTCCATTCATTGTCCTTGGAGTGACACTGACCATACTCGACCCAGAAGGACTGTGTCCCATGGGTGTCCTCGTTGGACTCCCTCCTCGCGGACTGTGGTTACGAGGACTTGGTACTGGCTTTGGGCTAGTCTTACGCGAGGAACCACCATACTTGATACTATTCAACTATATGTAATAAAATAAAGTATATTATTAAATTATTGTATTTTGTGGCAACCCCAACAGAATCTGAAAACATTTATTTTGATATGTATGTATAGTATATACATGTATTTTCAGATTTTCTATCTGCCTACACCTTCATGCGTTGTGGACACAATGGTCTCCGATTACAGCGACTAAACATTAGATAACCCAAATTTTATGAATGTTAGTATCCTAGCGATCAAGGTATTCTCTACATTTGATGAGATTGGTCAATCTTACCTGTTGCATGGTAATAAAGAAAGTTAGACAGAAACTATTTTGATTTCTTTTGCAGGAAGAGAGCAGAAGGCAATATTATTGTCACGTGACCAGGATAATGCCTTGCCACTAAGTTTCATATTGATATTTTTTTTCACCAAATTAATATTTATTAGAGATTTTGATAGAACTAATATATTCAGGTTATTTTCTTGAATATATATATTTCAAATTGTGAATCTGTTTAAAAGATATTGATATAAATATTTCACGCACCAATAACAACCTCTTATTTTGTAGTTTTGTCAGTTTGTTAGATCCTGACAATGTAGGTATATTTAAATACCGTGAGAAACTGTCCGACTTACCACTTCCTCTCAAACTAACCTGTAATTATTTGAAATTAAAATAACAGCTGACCTACTGTATTGATCATTTTATATAGTTTTGTGTTAATATCTGTTTTTTTCTTTCTCGGTAACATTTGGTTACCCTGGGCTATTTACACCTATACTCCACCAATAAACACACTCATTGCATTGGGACAGCAGTCGGAGCTTTTGTGATGACAAATTGTGTCTGTACCCTGGGGCTATTCTACGTTAACTAGAAGGTGATATTGCACGTCATTATGATGGATTCGATTCACTGAACTATGTCTTTATCAGTTTACTACTATTCTTTTACAAATGACACACAAATATAACGCTCTCTCACACTGTTCATTTTCATCATGTCCAAATTTCTCGTTAGTTCTCATTTCTATATATATTGTCCAAATTTTCCGGGGCTGTCGATTTTTCCAATAACATATACCATCCAAAATGTGAAATTACCCCTATATTTTGAATACTTCATGTGTGTGGCATACTACATGTATTGTCTCTTAATTTGGTTGTAATTTATTCTGCGTAGTAGGTCATAAATGACAGATTTTATTACTACAACAAGAATGCAAGGTCTTTGATACAACTACGAGTGGAATGCCGTTAAAACTTCTAGTAGACGCTATTTGTCAGTTATGACGACAATTTGAAAGTTCAAGACCAGTAAATGTGACCTTTAAAGTTTTTAAATCCCCCCCCCCCCCCAAAAAAAAATTATTAATATAAAAAGCTTTGTCATTTTATGATGCTCGTGTATCTCAAATGTTAAACGCGCTTGAATCACTGATAGATCTATTTTCTTTCAGGTAAACAAGCTGTCTCGTGTCGTCTCTGTTTTTATGACTAATCTAAGCTCATATATGATTGTGACTCTGTGTACTCATAAAACCAAATATAGTTTTGTTGTCACTTTTAAAAATATTTCAGGCACTCCTAAAATCCTGTTAGAGAAAGAACATCCTTACTGAGTGAAAACAGCTTTAGAGTATATATAGATTATTGCTCATTGTTGAATAATACAGAGACATAAATAACCTTGAATTATTTATTTCTCTGATAATACTTATATGAGGAAACCTACTAAGTAATTGTTATATGATCAGAATCAAAGCTGGGTCATAAAGGAAGACTGGATACCATATAAAACGTGATAGGTATAAACACCTACAACACCCAGATGTGGGTAATTTACAATACAGGAATACCTGTACAGTGACGTGTAAAATCAATACACCGCATACAATTCTGTATAATCAACCAGATTAAATGTCCACTGGGCACTGCGCAAGATAATGTACTACATGTACATAGACAAGAGCTGAAGAGGTTGTAGCTTGAGCCATCGGATTGGAAAATGGAATAATAAAAATATCAATTTTATAAAAAGGGATAGATGAGTATTTATGTAAACCTACAACACATCAGTTTAAGGGGGAAAATCATGAACCTACTTGACTGTGTTGTGATATGTTGTCGATATCAAGTTCTAGAGGTATACATTCAGATTTGACTTGTCTGATATTCTTCCCCACGTGAGCTTTACAGTAGACCTCTTTATCTGTAGAGTCATTGGCATCATTCCTGTAAAATGTCTGCATAGTCAACAACAAACCACAAATACGACATCGAAAACACTGTCTGTGGAACAAAACGTCCACTCGCACCTGATCCTGGGGGAGGACCCGCCTGTTACACCGGAAACACGGGTCCTTAGAGGCGGGACGAGGGGCACGTTCGAATTTGAACTCATAGAGAGTAGCACGTTCGTATGTGAAGGAGTAATGGTACGTCCCATCTTTCTTATGTTGTTCCTGCACGTCAATATGAACAGGCAACTCTCCCTCCGGCTCATCCATTCCGTGAAAATAATGGTGTTTTAGGTCTCAGAAAAGATTCTTGTTACATCCATGAAATATTTTTAACGTGTTCCACAACTGCAATCCACTATCTGTTTACAAAACTTGAATTATTTTCAACCGTGACCTAGGAATTGCGTTTACGACGCTCAGGTAAAAGGCCCCGACCGAGACTATTGTGTATGACAATCCACCAGGTAGGATAACAAATCGTTACATCAAAGGGGGCGAACTCAGGTGTAAACATTGAATACATAAGACAATAGAATAAGAGATGTCTCCTTAAAAAATGGTGTACTTGCATGAACGTTAATAGAAAATTCAGCATTTTAAAATGTATTCTTATTTGCATCCGTGGGCAAAGTAGCTAGTTAATAATAAACATATATCTTTTAAACATTTTGCATCTGTTATGAAAATTTATGCTTTTGTATTTTAATGCACCAATGTGATTTCTAGGATTCTAAAGAGAAAGAAAATATTTATCAGAGTTTATGTTCCTGCGTTATACCTTCACGACATCGGACGAGGTAGCATGAGTGACTCAGCTGGTCCTGATAAAAACTTAAATTTATGGTTGTGATTTTGTCGAAAAAGTAGTTTATGAAATGAAATTTCATTAAATATTTCAGCGCGTCTGTGCATCAAACATGATTTAAAAAATAGTTTTAGTCGTTCATTCACCTACTATAAGCTCAAGTGAGCTTTTTTGATCATCCGTTTGCCAGCATCCGTCTGTCTAGTTGCCCGTATTCTCCGTACCTCTGAAAACGTTGTACATTTTCGACTTCTTCTCTAGAACCACTTGTCCTATTTCAACCAAACTTGCCACAAAGCATCCCTGGATAAAGGGGATTCACAGTTGTTCAAAGGAAGAGTCTAAGCTTTTTTAAGGGAAGATAATTATTAAAATAGCGGTTAAAATTTGGTGGCATGCTTGAATTATTTTTTTTCTCAAGAACCAATCAAGAAAAGGACAAAAAATTGAGATATTTCTCAATAAGTGAAGATTCAACACTATTCAAATTACAGTCCTCGAGGGTTGGGTTGGGAGACAATAGGGGATCAGAGTTTTATATACCATTACAGCAATTAGATGAAGAGGTAAAAATAAAAACTTTCTAACATAGCATGCTTTTGTGAACTAATTAAATGCAAATTTTGAAAATAAACATTTTTCTCCTAAACAAAAACGCAAACAAAAGATACGATAAATTTTTCAATTTTATTATAGTTATATCCAATAATGATTGAAATTTTCTTTTCTAGTGTTAAGTTGCTCCCTCTTTTACACGAACAACGGACTTAATTATTGCCACTTGGTTTCCTAACGGATCATTCGAACACCAGTTACGAAAATACAAATAGTTCTTGTACAAACAAACAAGAAAACACTTGGAATGCACCAGTCCTTACGACATAAATAACACAGTCCGTGTTTCCCAGACCCCTATAGAGAGATAAAGAAAGTCCGATCCTCAGGTTCTGAAAATCACCAGTTAAGTAATTCAAAATGCTAACAAAAATGTGTCTGAATTCACAAAGAAAAATTAATGTGTTTTTACCCAGGGTATTTCTTCAAAGTTCATCATTAAAGTTAATCACATTATAAAGGGAAAATTATCAAATCTCATATATATTTTCAGGAAATGCAAATAAAAGCACCAGCTATGCATTTTCTAGTTGAAAATTGATCAACAAAATATATTCTAGGATAAAATAGTAAATGTATCCATACATTTGGAGAGAATTGCATGTTAGTTCTTCTACTTGCTTTAATTGTTGTATGATACCTAGTGTAAAAAGCTTGTTCTATCATTGCAAGATATCACAGATCACTTGCAATTTCATCTCATGCTAATAGGTGTTGGCATTCGATTTCCTCTAAAATATTTTTAATTCTGTTGTCTTATGGGGTAAAAATGTCAACTTTTTAGAGTTCTGTTTCTAAGACTTCAAAGAACCTTGCGTCGTATCGAGATGCATGAAATGAAAATTGTTGCACGAAAAGATTTCGATTTCAAGCTTCATTTTGAGACTTTATTTATTAAATAATGATTTTAAGAGTTATCTTTCCTGGCTGAGAAGTGGATATCCTTAAGTAATTCTACAGTTAAAACTATCTGCTCCTATGACATTCCTAAAAAAATGTCGATTTTAAGGATTCAGAGTAAGAAGATAATTTTGAAGGTGTAACCTACAAGCGTAACGCCAGATACTACGTCTCAGGAATAGGACCCAGATCCACGCAGGCTGGTATGCTAACTTCCTGAGAGGTAAGGGCGTGTCTTTCTCACATTTGTGCTCTTCAAACCTAAATACCCTGAATCCCGACAGAATGCAAAGATTATAAAGTGGTTCTGCACGATGCGGAAATTATAGATTCGCCCGGCTTTTGGCCGAAAGAAATATCGTGTCGTCAGTGGCTTAGTACTAAACAATGGGAGATCAAGATCGCAAAGGAGTCCGAAGTTGATTCTGTGGTCGGAAGAGAAGAGGAAAACTGGGATTCCCAAGACTGACACAAAATATCAGATTCACTCTCTATTTACACAATGCCTCTATTCAGTGCCTTGATTTTAATTATGATGTCAAAAAACATGAATGTTTTGTGTTGGAATGTACGAGATATCATTTTATCTTCAGTATGTTTGTCAGATATTCTGGATAACTCCAATTGTGACTTAGCTATTATAATATCTGAACACAAGCTCAAGCCAGACAATATCAATTATTTTAGATACGATCTATTCTCATTTTACCTGTTTATATTGTTGTACCGATAACAGAAAACATCGATTGTCGACGACAAAATGCTACTGATTCCGATGATCGATTATAATTTTACATAATCGATCATCGGAAACATACTTCTTATACAATACATTCCGGAATTATCCATTTCTGGTTTAAAATTTACTTCTTAATGAAAGAAAATGGCGTCTGCATCTGATACTAGCCAACTAGCACGAAGCAGAGGTGATTAAGAACCGAAAGGTGCATATATAAAAAGTGTAAAAGAAACAAAACAACAAAGAAAATAGTCCATTTTATTATACCTCTGTGAATTTTTTCTATATAAAAATATGACGAATAAATCGGCTATTTTTTTAAACCGTGGAATAGTTTTTGTGCTATTAGCCCATGGTGAAATAGTCATCAAACTATTCACCGGCAGCATTCCGTTTCCCTCTCTTTTAATTTCGGAGCTCTTCTGATTTTATCCAGATTGTGACGTAACACAAGTAAAGTCGGCTTCGGTATAATAAAACACCTATTTACTGGCTATGAGGACAATAGCAAGTTTATCGTCCCCCTCGACAGCAACTATTTCCCTCGGCTGCGCCTCGGGAAATAGTTGCTGTCTTGGGGGACGATAAACTTGCTATTGTCCTCATAGCCAGTAAATAGGTGTATAATATATTTTATATATTCATGTTAAAGAAATAATATGAAATGATTGTAATAGTATGCTTTTTATATACAAAACTATGACATCTGATCATAATCGGTAAAATCGCATCGGTAGCAGTAACCGATTCCAACCGATGATCGATCATGAAAATTAACCGATGTCCCATTACTACCTGTTTACCACTTTGTAAAACCTGAATCGGGTGTTGACTGTACTTACGAATATTCCCGTTTTATAGGTAAGGGTGATATTGGTATCATGTTTAAACAAGCAAATTCGAAGAATTGTGGTCCCCCGCTCTCGGTGTCCTAGTGGATGGGATGCCATTATTTATGGTATATTGTAGCTTTCTTGTTTCATGTGTGTCCTGTATTGTCTATGCATCATACAAAAAGACATAAATTATCGAATTAAACCAGTTATGGCAAAGATTATAGTTTCTCAAAACTGCATCAAACTTCAAGATCAAGGTCATGAGGTCAAATATAATACAGTTCGAAAGGTTTTGTCACAGGTAATGTTCATGTGAAAAATTATATCAAAAACCAGAGTATACAATCGGAAAGATCTTGAAACAGGTAATGCACATGTCAAATGTAAATGCCATATCTTCTCTCATTCAAAAGTTATCAGCAATGTTAATTTTTTTTGAAAATTAGGTCAAACTTCAAAGTCAAGGTCATGGGGTTAAAAATCAATACATTTGGAAATGCTTGTCACAGGTAATGCACGTGTCAAATATGAATGCCATATCTTCGCTTCTTCGAATTCAAAAGTTAGCAACACTGATAAAATGTTTGAAAATTAGGGTTAAACTTGAAAGTCAACGTCACAGACTCAAATATCTTAGGACATTCGAAAACATTTTGGCACAGGTAATGCACTTGTCAAATATGAACGCCCTATCTTATGTCAATCAAAAGTAACCACCAAAGTTAAAATCTTTGAAAATTAGGTCGAACATGAAGGTCAAGGTCAAGGGGTCAAAAATCATAGCAAGCTCAGAAACATCTTGTCACAGGTAATTGAGGTAATGCACATGTCAAATATGAAAGCCGTATATTTTCTCAATCAAAAGTTAAAGGAAAAGATAAAATTTTTGAAAAATAGGTCAAGCTTCAAAGTAGGTTACGGGGTCAAAAACCATAGTATATTTAAAAAGGTCTTGTCACAGGTAATGTACACATGACTTATGAAAGCTCTATCTTTTCTCTTTGAATTTTTATGACTATTTTGAGGTAATGTTAAATTTTTTTGAAAAGGACAAACGTCAAGGTCAAGGGGTAAAAATTATAGTATATTTAGTAATATATAGTATATTTGAAAAGGTCTTGTCACATGTAATGCACATGTCCAATATGAAAGCCCTATCTCAAAAGTTATAAGCAAAAATAACACTTCTGAAAAAGTAGGTCAAACTTCAAGGTCAAGGTAACGGGGTGAAGAATCAAAGTAAATTAACAAAGGTCTTGTCACAGATAATATATATCTTTAATATGAAAGCCCTATCTTTTTTCTTTCAAAAGTTATGATCAATTCAATGTAATGTTGAAATTTTTGAAAAGTAGGTCAAACCTTAAGGTCAAGGTCACGGGGTCAAAAGTTATAGTATAATTGGTAAGGTCTTGTCACAGGTAATATACATGTGAAATATGAAAGCCCTATTTATTCACATTCAAAAATTCATATAAAGAAATAAAACGATCAAATCTTATTGACAGGGGATCTTCAATAAGTGGGGGTCGT